GGGGTTAGACAAAGCCCATCAACTTGAAATGAGCAGAGTCTGGGTCCTGCTTTCAGGAGACTTGAATGGGATTGAAATATTGCCATACATCTTCTTTCCACCTGTTTCACTGAGCAAACTCATGTCCTGCCTTTGGCTTCTTATACCCTGCACTCCAGCCACCCTGAACCTACACCCTTTAGTACCATGGATTCCTACACCTACTGTACTGCACACTCTATCTTCACTTTTCCCTGAACAAGTCCCACCCAACTAGTTCAGATACCTTCTACTCCTGTTAAGGCATTTCCACCTCTGTAGTCAAGGGCCAGAGATGTGGCTCAGAGGTAGAGCACTTGCCTAACTTAGATACGAGGCCCTAGGTTCAATATCAGCACTGGTGGGGGAACAGTCTACAACCAGAATTCACTGCCTCCTCCAGTATTTCAGCATATCCAAATCTGACCAGCAGTGAGATCTGTCTACACCTGCCCCCACCTATGACCAATCCCAGGCATGGGACCTATGGGACCTCGTTTCCTCATTTGTAGACAGTGCCTCCCAGCGAGGGGCACACCTATAATCCTAGCCACTCCAGAGACTGAGGCAGGAGGGTCACAAAGCCAGTCTCAGCAATTTGGCAAAGCCCTGAACAAGTTAGTGAGATACTGTCTCAAAATAAAATATTAAAAAGAGGATTAGGGATGTGGCTCAGTGGCTGAGTGCCCCTAGGTCCAATTCCTGGTATCCCTCCCCCCACCAAAAAAAAAAAAACTGCTTTCCATACAGTAATGCTTAACAACTACAAGCAAAGGCTAGTCACATATTTTTCATCTCCAAATTTATTTCAGTATTACACATTATGATGACTTCAATTATATTTGCAGTTTTAACATCAACCTAAGAAGGTTTTATTTTTTTAAGTAATTATTTATATAAACTATTTTTAGGCAAAGTATGTTCAGTGACTACCTATTCTCTGTTATTAAGTCTTAGTGATAATTTCATCCCTAAATTACTCTCTCCTATCCCAAAGGAAATAAAGAAAGACATTTTTAATCTATAAAATCTGGGGAGTGCCAAGTGCTGTAGTATACTCCTGTAAATCCTAACTACTTGGGAGAATCCTAACTACTAAGGCAGAAGGATCACAAGTTAGAGGCCAGGCTTAGTTACTTAGAGACATCCTGTCTCAAAATTAAAAAAATAAATAAATAAAAAATAAAAATAAAAAAAAGAGGGCTGGTGATGTTGTAAAATGCCTCAGGATTCATTACTCAGTACCTCAAGAAAACGGGATGGGAGGAGACTGAGCTATAAAGTTTACATAAAATATCCTACAGTTTTAGAGTTTTAAGCCATAGACGGATGAGAAAACTTATAGAATGCTTATTAAATCTCATTTGAGAATGGCTAACATAGAATACATTATCAAGTTTTTCTCCTAAATAACAATAACCAAAAAAAAGGGAACTCAAAATACTTTAATATCCTTATATTCCATAGTGAATAAATGCCATAGGAAATCTGATGTCTATTTATGTCAGTCAATTATGTTTTCAGTAAATCCATATCAATATGAAAATTTTAGCCAGAAAGAAAGACTAGATTTTTTTTTCACAAAATTAACCAGCCATCTATCAAAAATTAAGTTTAACATATTTAAGGAACAAAAACAGCAATATTTTAATACTAGGCTACCTGGCAGTGAGTCTTCCTGATCTCAAGCAGAAAATAAATTGTTCTCTCTCTACCTCGAATGCATACACACCTCACACACACAGCAACAACGAGAAACTGAGTCAAGGTGACCAGGTCATCAACCAGGTGACTTATCAGAAGGAATGTCTCCTTTTCTCCCAAGCAGAGGTCTGTTGAAGCACAAATCAGCAGCAAGTACATAAAGCCAAGACCCAAAAATTAGTCAGAGAAATAGTGTCAGAGATGGGCAAAAATGATTTCTAGGACACTTCAAAGTTTACCTGCCCTGTGCTAGGAATCCTGCCCACACCTCCATTCCTGCTTCTCTCAGTGCCAACTGCTCATGGCAACAGACAATTAGAACAGTCTCCCTCCAGGACACTCGGCTGCTGGGGCCCCTTTTACCTGGGCCAACAGAACCCACAAACCTGTTCCTACATGTTAAATGGCCCACAAGCAAGAAGCCTGCTGAGAATGCCAACTAGGGATCTCCTGCAACTTGTTTCTCAAAGTGGGGATTTACGTGAACACAGGGTTTGACATAGGCCTCTGGAACCATTTTCTTCAACTTCCTTACAGTAACTCACAGTCACTTAGGAAAGGCAGTTGTATTGCCATGTACATCCTTCAGTGGTGAGATGCGTGGTCCCTGGTCCCCATCTTCTACTGACCGTGTGCCTTTGATTGTCCTTTGTTGGCAGCCTGGTAGACCCATAAAACTGGGGCATCGGCACTACTATTTCTACCACAGTCACACAGAGCACTGGAAGTCAGTGGGATGGATCCAGGGTTTAAACCCTAAGCCAATGAAAAGCGCTGTATGATGCACTCACTTTCTAAACCCCAGATTCAACCTTGCTGTGGGGTTCTGTGATTTTCCTTACCTATAGTGTTTTACACAATTATAGGTGACCAGTCAAACCCAGCTGCCCTTTGACATCAGATACAGGCACATTCAGGCATTCTGGCAAAACCACTCCACCCACTGCAATTATTCATAGAGGGAGACAGGGTTTCCAAATGAAGCCAGCAGATGAGCATCTGCTAAATAGGCCTGGTCCCCCCCCCCCCCCACACACACACACACAACACCAAGTAAGGTAGTAATCTGGAGACATCCACGATAAGACAACACCATCAGAGGAAAACCTGCAAGCCCGGGTGTCAGCCCTGTGCCCTCTGAATGAGAAGTCCAGGGGCATGGGCAGGTGGGAGGGCAATGCTGCCAGGAAATTCTACAGCCCAGCTTCATCTTCAGGCACTGCCCCCCAGCCTGCAGCCTACACCAGCCACCGCTAGCTTCCAGGGTCTCGTGGAGGCTGCCTGGGCTGTGGGAGGAATGAAGATTACAGTAAAAGACCTTGTGTAAAACTACTCTCAAAACTCCCCCAACCTGAAAAATCCCAATTGCTTTGCCTCCTGGTCTCTAGTGGGGAGTTAATCTTTCATCCGGGAGGGCACTGACCTGCAAGCTACCTCTAGGAATTCAGTCCCAGGTTAGAGTCCTGGACACCAAAGAGACTAGGGCTCCTTTGGGTGCCTTTCACCCTCCTTTCCCTGGAGGGCAACTGATTGAACTTGCTGAAAGCCAATTTTGAAATTTTGCATCACAAAACCACAAGAACAAACCAGACTCCACCTACAAAGTCATCCAGAACCCAAAGCCCATTCTTGGTCAAATATGTGTCTTTGCCATTTATCATTTAAATTAGGCTCTTTCTACACTCTACAGAGATTTGGAGATGGCAGCATGCTCATAGGAGATAGGACACAGACACTAAGGCCAAAAACCTAGCCTCCCTCAATACCTTAGTTTCTGAAACACCATTTTGCCTCATTCAGTTGTACAATTGCCTCCAAGGATTAAATAATTCTGACCTTTTAGTTTCCCACAAGTAAAACTAATTCTATTTACCCCTTAGATCCTCCTGCTAAAAAAAAAAAAAAAAATACACTTTATCAATTCTAGAAAGGTTCTTTAACATATGTCTGTGACAAATGAAAAGTTTTTTCCCTTGTGAAATTAATTAGATATTTTATTTCATTAAAGAAAAAGCTCAAGAGAATTTGTATTGGTGAACAAAAAGAAAAAGCAAATATAATTTTAAGCATCATTTTTGTTTGTTAAAGTCAGCTAAAAATATGACAGGGGAGGGGAGAGTGGGGGAGGCAGAGAGGTCCTTAGATTCCTGGTTCCCCAAGGACTCCAGGGTAGCAGTTTCAATTTCACCTGGGGCGCTTGTTCAAAGACACAAATTTCCAAGCCCCACCCCTAGAGACTTAAGATTCAAAAATCCAGGGCAGGGCCCAGGAATCTGTAGTATTTTTAAGTGCCCCCGAACAATTTTAGAAGAAAACTAAAAGTAGAAAACAATTAAACTAATCTTAGAGTAAACCTAAGAATCATCACTAGGGCACATTTTAAAGTCCTGCGGGAGAACTGGGAATATAGCTTAGTGGAAGAGCACTTCCCTAGCACTGGGTTCATTCCTGAGATCACAGAAAGTAAAAGAAAAAAAAAAAAAAAAAAAGTTCTGCTTGTCTGAGTTCTTGCCCTTGACCTCACTGAGGTCTCAGGTAAAGCCAGGTGGTTTTTTCCAGGTGAATCTGGGAAACATTAAGGTAAGACAATGCTCTTTACTTATGGATGGCAATTTTGATCATAGCTCCACAGAAACTAACTCTGTGATATTCACAAAGACCCCTCGATCTCCTGTCCCAGGCAGCCCCCACCGCTGCTGCTGCCGCCAGTGACTGAATTAGGCCTGTGTACAATGAAGGCAGAAAGGTCTCCCAGCAAGAAGGTTGGGGAAAGTAAGATCCGTGAATGCAGAAGCCCAGAACACATTAAGAAGAGTTTCACTTTGGGTAGAAACAAAAAGAAAGACAGCCAGAGTTGACATAAGCAAAAGCAACTTCAATGTCATGGGCCCAGGACCTGTGGAACCACAGGCCTGGCAATTTTCCTGATCTATATTAGAAATACACATAGCGAGCGAAGCAACTCTGATTAGAAAAAAAAAAAAAAAAAACCCTAGAAATAAAACAGTTTAAAGCTCTTCAAAAGTTCTTGCTTTTCTTTGGGTTAATTTAACCATAAAAAAAAAATGATAGAGATCTTAATTAAGAGGTTTGTAAAGTACTTAAGTTTGTCATTTTGTTGACATTTAAATGTAACTTCCTCTAAAAACTATTCTTAGGTATCAACTAACTAAACTGTTGGTTTAGGTTATTGTACTGCCAGATAAGATAAAGTTTGAGATAATTTACTAGAGAGCAACCCACGAAGTTGAAGGAGTCTATTCTGTTTTAACACTTACCCCTGAGGCTGTTGGTTGTGTTGGAGGGGAAGTATTTTTGCTGCAATCGTCTGAGTTAGAAGAGGTGGAAGTTGGAGTCATGGGAACAGAATTATTACTATTACCTGCAAGAGTCAAAATGAACTTTATAAACACACACATACTTACTGTGACAGTAGGCAAATACTTTACAATCAAAGGGCATTTTATTATATTTACCAGAGCAAGTCTTTGACTTATTTATGTTTTTAGGTTTTCGTTTCCTGGTTTGAATCCCCTCTTTTTTCATAGCAAGTGGTCGAGGCACCTAAAAAATGTCCACATAGGCCTTAATAAGTATTATATGGAAGGAAAACCAAACTAAACACCCAACATTGGTACTAAAAGCCTTCATGCAAAAGAACTTGGCATCAACCATTTTTGTATATACTCCATAGATCCAAGAACACAAGACTACACTTTCCCCATCAAATGTAAAGATTCCTTCAGAGAAAAGGGGATGACTGGGCTAAGGGATGAAGCCCACTGGTAGACAGCTCAGTGATGGAGTGCCTGCCTACATCCTGGCACAAGGGTTTGATCCCCAGCTTCGCAAAATGCTGGAATGGGGGGGAGGATACCAAGGAGAATTTAATTGTTTCAACTTAAAGATTATTGTTTGAAATGATGTTGTTAATTATACAATAGAAATTTATTGGGTTTTTTATTTTAAAAAGAGAGCATGTACTCTTCCTCCTACAAGGTAAGTCATTTTTCTTTGTGTGATTGAGGTAATATTTTGTGTAGTCCTTGAAAATGAAGGACAAAGTCATTCTAACTAAAATATCAAGTGTATTCCTCCTTTGTACAAATGTCTCTGGTTGCATTAAAAAATTTAAGATGTAAACTAGTTATTGTGCATTTCTCATTGGCTTTCTCGCTCACAAGCTTAAACAGTTACTAACACGTCATCAACTCTTAAAATGCACATTTCACATTTTCATATTTCTAAAATTGGAATGTGTCTCATGATGAGTGTTCGTGATTAACAGGCAGCAATTTGTTTTTTACTGGTACATATTGTAATTGAAAGCCTCTTAGATTCAAAGAGGTACATCTATCTACACATTCAAATTTCTCACTTTGGCACCTTTCATTTGCTGATTATGTTTTGTAATGGAAACCAGACTAAAGGGATATACAGAATAAAGGGCGTACCCCATGGAGTTTCATGTAGAGTCCACAAGCGTTGCACACAGGTTCACCCTCAGCATTTCTGCGCCATAAGGTGGTGGTTGTGGTGTGACAGTTGGCACAGGACAGCCCCAACCGCCGTGATGAAGGCTATAAAAGAACAAAAGAAAGTAAGTGGAAATATGGAAATATATACATGACGTTGAGGAATTTTAACTGTAATGTGTGTCCCATATATACACCTGTATATCATGCCCATCTTTGCTCTGCATGTTCCTAATGTATTAATGAATATTTATAATGATATTTATAAATGAAATATCACTTGAGAAAAAATTTTGGAATATAATTAGGTTGAGTTCCCTGAACCAAGAAACTAGGTTTGCACAGGGTGCTAGATGCCATACCTTCGATTTGCTCTTCCAGCCTGTCCTTGTAAACTACAGAATGAATAACTGGGAAGCAGTCACACAATTACTCCATGCAAAGCTCTCCCCAGCATCACACACAGAGAGTTTCAACAGTAGTTGCCTCTCCAAGAATTTAGTTTTCCACTTACTGCTGTTTTTTAAAGGGAAACTAGAAGACTTCCTAAAAGTTGCCAAGTAAGAGTTATATTCTGAAATGCACCAAAAGTATCAATACAACTGGACATTAAGGTGAGAGTCCCCCCCCACCATGGAGAGTCATGCTCTACTATCATAGGTTGAGACAGTCATGAAATACAATCACAAAGCAGCTACATGTACTAAATGGCTTTGGATAGTGTCCACCTGAAAAACTGAGATAACCAAGTCAATTTTTCATTCATGTGTAGGGAAATCAACCAGAAACTTTAAAAAGACCTGTATACATGAACAAAAGCAGATCTTAGCAAAAAAGTCTAAAACGTTTGGAAAGAAATATGCTCCATTTCCTCTAAATTACTACAAATGAATTATAAAGGAGAATTTAAACTAGTATAATCTCCTCCCCAGAATGACAAAACATAACATTTGTTTTTCAATTATCAAATTTAAAATGCCATTAAAACTTGTCTTAAATTACTCTTGAAGCTTAACAAGATTTGGGGAGCTAGAAATACTGTGTAATTTCTTCTTTTAATCTTCTTTTAAACAATGGACAACAAAAATATTAATTGAGCTTGTATCAAATATTCCCAGATTAGAAAACAGAGATGTCTAACTCTCTGCTGGAAAATTTAAATAATGACATTTAATTTAGCATTTACATTTTGCATCCTGTTGTATTACTTTAGTAACATTCTTTACAGTTATTTTGTAAAAACAGATACTAGTGAGCCTTTTAGCACTATAAAAATTAGCACTGATAGCACTGACTTCTTAGAATATGGTTAAAATGATCATATTTGGCGGATAGGAAAACTATAGGGAATTGCTTTGTTTGAACGTTGAGAACATTACAAAACCTTACACATTGGAGCTGCTTTATGGTTAAAAGAAAACCATTTTCTAGGCAAGCACTATTTTTTTTCTCCATAAATGTGAATCAGTAAACGAAGGATGGCAAGATTCACTTTACAAACAGGCCATTTATGACAGTTTCCAGTGGAATTTGGAGCCAATGTGAAGCAAACTTGTTATCAGAATTTGCCATTATAACAAAGAACTTTATGACTGTCAACTGCAGATCATAAGTGAAGCCAGTCCTCATAAACATGTGAAATGAAGGTGAATGGGTTATAAAAGTTCCTTGTAACAAGTGATCTCAGTTATATTCCTCACTGACAAGGAATTCAAGTTACACCATAAATCTCTTATTTTGCAATGTATTGCAAGTTCAAATTCACAGTGATTGGTTCTGTATTGCTGGCTAAACAAACTTGGGTTCAACATTCTGTTTCTGAGAATGAAGTCAGATCCATCAAAACCATATATAAGAAGCCCATAAGGAGAACTAATTGATAATGACACACCCTACAATTGGTATCATTTATAACTCATTTACAAAGCATACAGGCTGACCTTGGTTACCATCAAAACACCTGCCACAAAGCAAGAAAACCGATTCAAAAATGTTAAAAACGGGTTTCTTGCTAGTAACAGTTATTTTTACTGCTACATGTGCAAAAATAAATGGCACTATCTACATAGGAAAGTCACTAGATCAAATTCATACTTCAACTAGAACCCAAATTGGCTACTCTTAACAAGGTTTTTTTTTTCTCAATCTTGACAAAATGTTACCCTTCAGAGCTCAACTAGTGCTTAGCTCAATGTAGCTTTACAGAATTAATAATAGTTTCATTGTTCATGTGTTGTCTAATATGTGAAAACAAGGAACTTCCTTGGAATATTTTCCAGTGACTACATTTTAAATAGGATGCATATAAGAAAAATAACCTTAGAGAGTCACACACTGAAAGGGACCCCTTAAAATTCTAAGCTGTGGGAGGCTTTAACAAGTTTAAGGCACATACACTCATTAAATTAATGCCAGCCACTTTATTTTAAATGCATTAAAAACAAACCAACCGTAAAGCTAATTACTTCTCTTTAAGGTGTCAGACTTACATTGTGATGCAATTTCACTCTAATCTATTTAACACAAACAACATGTGTAGCATTTGTTCTGCTAATTAGAGTATAACAATTAAATAAATTACTTGGATACTTAAGATGACTGACATCTAACTGTAAAATATTTTACTTTTAAAGGCATTTATACTATTGAGCATTTGGGCTAAACAAATGTTAGCCTTAAAGTGGGGTTCCTGGAAGATTTAATTTATTTTCTCTGATCACTATAATAATGTATACCCTCTCTTACTACGCACGCATAACAATGACAATGCGAGATTAATGCCTGAAGAAAATCAGGCATCGCCATACTTTAAAAGATGATTAAAACGTGATCACATTTGGTGAAAATCCTTAATCTGAGAACATACATATTCTCAAGTACTATGTATGGGTAGGTTTTTTTGTTTTGTTTTGTTTTTTCAAAATTACCAAGGATTGGGTAAATCAATTTTCACTGGAGTACAGGGCAATCCAAAGACATCAGGAACCTAGAGGGATAAACCTTTTTCCCAGGATGAGCGGCAGACGGGTAAAGAGGTAGAAAGAACAAAGTAAAAGGGAGCCAGAGCGCTCTGTAAGGAGCAGAGGGAGGCGGATACTGGCGGAGGGGGTGTTGGAAGAGAGCATGGTCTCCCCAGAATAAAATCCAAACCAGATCCAAGCTTCCTTCTCCTGGCCTGGGTAGGTCTACTCCGTTTTCCACCCCCTTTGTTAGCCATTCCCAATGTCTTGTGTATCCCTCGAGAATTAATTCGCTGCTTTGGCAAGTAGCGAGATATGTAAATACTTTTTGCACTTAAAAAAAAAAAAAAAAACTAGCAGCACCTTCCTTTCTTGCCATTTAGAAATGTCATTTTCAATAGGCAAAGGAGGAAAGCCTGTCTTGGCTTCCCTGGTGGCTTCGGGGTCACCTCCGCGGGGGCGCCGGCGGGCGAGGGTTGGAGGCCGGGGAGTGACTGGTGCGTATGGGACTGTGCGCTCGGCTCCCGCCTCAGAGTCCGCACCTGTCCCCGCGGGGCGCGCCCGGCGCTCACACTCACCACGCGCTTCTGCGGCTTGATGAGGGGCCGGCTGAGGCCGTTCATCTTGCTGTAGAGGCCGCAGGCGTTGCACAGGTAGTGGCCGGTGCCGTCCCGCCGCCACAGCGGCGTCTGGATGGAGCCGCAGTTCACGCACTCGCGGCTATCGGGCAGGTCCTCCAGCAGGTCTGCGGCGAGAGCGGGGACAAGAAGCACCGTGAGGCCGCGCGGGGCCCGCGCCTCCCCAAACACCCGAACGCCCCCGGGACCCCACATCCAGCGCGGGAGGTGCGCTGCCGCCATCCCCGCCTGCGCCCTTGGGGATCGCGCTTTTCCCCTCGGCGGCCAAGCCGGGAACTTGATGGTGTCGCCGTGGATTTGCTGACCATTAGTCCCACACTTCTGTACCCTCGCGGTGCCCCCGGTAGAAATTCCCGGGAAAGTCGTGGGCAGTGCTAGAGTCTGAGATGAGCTACAGGAAGGTCAGCCTGACCCCTAACTCTCAGGCTGTCCCCTCGATTTTTAAAACTAAAATTCATCATAATTACAATTTCCCGCTTGCTAAACCGAGCAAGACGCAGTGTTAACAATGATTACTCACCCCTGCTGCAACCCACAAATGCCCCAGGACACGCTGCCTTATATTTATCAAGTAATTTTTAAAGTATTTTCTAAGTCTACAACCTTTCCTTCTTACACGGCTTTTCCCCAATAAAAAATAGATGAGTTAAAGTACAAGTACCGTTCTGAAGACACTTAACGTCACTGAGAAAGTAACTCAGGTCTTCTCAAGGGGGGAAAGGCGCTGAGATAAAAGTTTTATTCACTTGCCACAAAGATCAAACGCTAAAATATTTTTATTCCATTCTGAAATTTTTTTTACAAAAGGTCAATACTGGTTGAGAAACTACTAAGAACTTCTCAGCGATAAATAAAACCACCTTTTTTTCTACACTAAAATTTTAATTTATGCAATCTATTCTAAATGTGATTACTTTACATTAATTAATCATTGATTGGATTTTGGAATTTGCAGTACCCTAGATCTGCTAATTAAAAACAAATCTGAATTAAGGGTAAATGGTTGTACATTTATTACTTCCCTTTGAGAAGGTTAAATATGAAATAATAAATATCCTCTAAAATTAGATAAGTACTTACTAAATATACTCTTGAAAAACAAATGTTTCCTACTGTTTAGGGCTCTTTATGTTATAGAGGGTTCAAATGTTCTAATTTTGCATTCGTGAAGCATGTTTCTGAATTACTGTTTAAAGTAAATAAATATTACACTTGAGGTTTTATTTGAAGATGAAGTGTGCTAGCAAACCTTTCTATTCCTTCTCATTCTCCTGCAGCTGATAGTTTGCTTCTACCAGCGATTGTGCAGTAAAGACATTTGAGCATGACTTTAGCATTAAAATGCTTTAATCCATTAGTAATATTTACCCTACAAAACAAGTGGCCTTCCTCATTTCAAGTTATTTCTTAGGTTTAAACTAGCATCCTACACCAGCCGAGTTCAAAGTTGTCGTTGGGATACTGCAACTTACAACACATCACAAAGATTTATTCTTCTCCGCCCTAAAAGCCACTATTGACTGCGGTAATCAGTAAAATCCTCAGGACTTCAAGGACGCTGAAGTTAAACAAGGTATTTGTCTTTGTTGTTGACTTTAAAATGTTACCTATCAGAGCCCCTCTCCATAGAAGAGTGGGGCATTCCCTGGAAAACCCGACTTGCTAGGTGCCTGGCCTCTTCCCCTCTCCTGGGAACAATAAAAACAGATTCCCTGGAAAAGAGTGTGAACTCCCCAGGTAGACCTCTTTAGTTACCTGAAAATCCAAAAACAAAAATTTAAAGTCCTTTTTGGAAAAATAAAATCTAGGAAATTTGCTTTTTAAATTAAATAAAATTTCTCTCTTTCCTTCCCTTTCTACCTCTTACTCACACCCAGGCAGGTAGACTTTTCTAACTCTAAATGAGAGGCGGGACACTGCCTAAATTTTGCAAAAATCTAATTGTGCTGGAAGCTTGCATCTGCTCTCCTGAGATGGCTGTTTGAGATGCTCTTGGGAAGTGACAGATTCCATCACCCAGCAAATGGAGCACAGTTCTGGGGAATTGAGAACCAGGGAATGAGGGGCTGTGAGTACTCAGAGCTCATCCCAGAATGAGCCCAACCCATCCACCAACAATCAGGGAAAGGTGTAGGGGGAGTGGGTTTCCAAAAGCCTCTAAACTGTACAGCTTGATAAAGCTCAGCACTCAGGTTTTAGCCCTGATGTTTGCTCAAGTCAATTAAAAGAGAACAGGAAATCTAGATAGAAGCTGGCATTAGAACACCTGTGGGGACAAGCAAAGTTAGGGCCACTCACCCTCTCACCTCAAATACTGACTTGGTCCCTGATGCTTCCTACTTTCTTAGAAGACTGCAAAATCTGGGTGTTTCAAATCCCTTCACCTCCAACCCTGATTTTTTTTTTAAACATTCTGTCTGCAGATTTCTTTATAGTGTCAAGCCCAGAAGGTGTAAAAATTAGGAAAAGAATAGGCTAAGTTTAAAACCAAAAGAAACCTCTAACTTGCCTGCGACCACATTATACTCTAAAAATGATTTTTCATACAGAATCAAGTTATTGTCAACATCTGAAGACTAGAGTGTTTGTGTTCTCTTTCTCTCTCTCTCTCTCTCTCTCTCTCTCCCCCCCCCCCACCTTCACGCGACCTGTTAGAAGCCTGGGGGAAAGGAATCTGGAGATCAAGTTAGGGTATGTCAATCAACAGGCAGAGTTGCAGGATCCTGCTCAAACTGCAGTTACCGCTTTCTCAACAGGACCGCAGCTTCACAACCTAACCACCACCCGCTTCTCATTCTTTGAAGATCCCTTACATGCAGTCTCTCTGTTTCTGGGAGCCAAACATGGGTTCCTCTTTGGAAGAAAGGGTGACAATCTTTGGATCTCTCAAGACCTAACCCAACAGGGCAAATCTCAGCAGAGTCCTCTGCCTCTGCTCCGCATACTGTTGGTAAAGACGGTCCCTAGGGCCATCGTTGCAGGACTGGAGAAGTTAGGTCAGTCTTGAAAGAAGTGAAAAGAGTGGCTGGGGATGTGCAGTGGTACAGCACTAGCCTGGCAGTGCCAGGCTCTGGGTTCAATCCCAGTACCTGGCAAATTAATTAAATTAAAATGAAAAAGCCTATATGTTTAAAAAAAAAAAAAAAGGCTGGGGATGTGGTTTAGAGGAGAGCAGTGCTTGCCCGGCATGTTTGAGGCTGCGGGTTCAATCTCCAGCACCTCAAGGAAAAGAGAAAGAGAGAGAAAGCACTTGTTACCAAAAAGTCTTGCCCTGTCCCTAATGTTACAAGGGGGGCTGTTCAAATCCCTTCTTTCACTTTCAGGCCCCTTTTTACCTAATTAGAATCCCTAAAAGTCCTCCATATCCTTAAATGGAAGCTCCTAGGAGAAGCCCAGACTTGGGGCACAAAAGACACCAAGATAGGACACTTTGGACTGATATGCCTCCTTTCTTGTCACTTCTGTTGCTGAGTTCTCCCCACAACTCACCTCCAACAAACAGTAAAAGTTCTGCTTTTCTTTAGAAACAACAGGTGAAATCAAAGACCCGTGAATGCACCAAGGACTCAGAATGCTGGGGCTGAGAAAAGCAGTCAAACAATCTGACTCAGACCTTCTCCTGCTAGGGCAGAACCAAACACTTTCCAAAATAAGGTATTTCTCTATTTCTCCGTATTTGACAATTTTGTTTTCCCACTTTATCCTAAAATGGTCCCCAGACACAGGAATGAGAATATGAATGGAACAACTGCAAAAATGGTGGGCTAAACTCTGGAGGAAGAATAAAATAGGTGGCCCTGCTCCTGGATCCCTGGATCCCAGCCTGGCCACGTGGAAGTAGCAGCCCCAGACCCCCACCCACCCTAACACATATCCACTAGCCGACCATCAGTATAAAGTCACAAGGCTGTCTAATCTAGGTGTCCTCTCATCTTTTTCCTCTCACTTGAGGGGGCAGGAATGTCCACTGGATCCCGGGTTCCTTTACTCTCCTGGAACTTGTTTAAATACCTTCTTCCCTAGTCCCATAGTGTAGGCCTGTAATCCCAGCCACTTGGGAGGCTTAGGCAGGAGGGCAGCCAGGTTTGAGGCCAGCCTCAGCAACTAAGCAATGTTATTTTTAAATAATATTTTTAAGCGGGCAGGGAGTGTAGCTTAGTGGTAAAGCGCCCCTGGATTCAATCCCCATTCCCAAGAGGAAAATACACCACACCAGTGCTTGTACATAAATACGTGTGTATTTGGGGAGAGAGTAAATCAAGCACCTAACATTTCCTCCAAACTTACCCCAGAGCAGAATCTCACTATTCCGTTTGTCCAAACTGGGGTATGCGGTAAAACTCAAGGCAAGGCTCTGGCAGTTCCCTCCCAACTTCAATTTTTCCCAATTGCCCACTCAATATTCATCAAAGACCCCCCAACTTCTGCAAGACTCAGAGACACATAAGTGCAAGTTAGTCTTTTTCCTAGAAAGAAACTGGGATAGTTCGCACAATAAAAAACACTAGTCTCTGGTCATTCTGCCACAGTCCTGCAAATCCATTCCGGGACACCAGTCAAGTAGCTGCTCCAGACCCCCTTGTGTTCCAGCACCTCGGTCACGCACCCCCACACTGCGGCGCGACCCTTACCTGTACTGGGGCCCCGAGGCACCGGGAGCGGAGCTCCGGCGCGGCTCTGCAGGCTGTGCAGCACCGGAGTCTCAAAGGGTCCAGCCGGCCAGGCAGGCGTCAATGGCGCTCCCATGTAGGGCGAGTAAGGACTCGGATGGTGGTGGTGGTGATGGTGGTACGTCCCGTTCAGCGGCCGCGCCGCCGTCAGCGAGCTGTACTGGTGCTCCCGGCCGCCCATGGCCGCCAGGCTGCCCCCGCCGCCGCCGCTCACGCTGCCGGCTCCCCCGCTGCCCGCTGCAGTGTAGCCCCCAGGCTCCCGCGCTGCGCCGTTGGCCATGGGAGGGCTCGGCGAGTAGGGGAAGCGCGCAGAGGCATGCGCCGAGGCGGAGCCGGCGCTGCCAGGGCCCCCGGCCCCACCGCCCGCCGCGCCGCCTCCGCTGCCGTATGGGGGACTGTCGGCTGAGGCCTGGGGCCAGCCAGGGTGCGCCCCCGTGCTACCCGCATGGTTGGAGGGCCCGCTGCCCGCGCCTTGCAGGTACGGTAGGCCTGGCAGCATGGAACCCACGCGGGTGGTGGGCACGTAGACTGGGGAACTGGCTGCCGCCGCGGCTGCAGCTGCAGCTGCTGCAGAATGTACGAAGCCCCCGGGCGCGCCATCATAAGCGGCGGGTCCCTGGCTGGAGAGGGCGGCGAGGGTCTGGTACATCTCCTCGGGCTGCTCGGGTGTAAAGGGGCTCAGCTTGGCGCCACGGCTGGACCACAGCAACTTGCTGGCGGTCGCGGCCTGGTCGAGGTCAGTGAAGAGCAACAGGTCCTCCCAGCTCGACAAGGCACTCCCGGGGCCAGCGACCCCGGGAGCCGAAGGTCCGTGGGGAGCCCCGAAAGGGTGCGAGGCGTAGGGGCTGAGCAGCAACGAGCGGGCCGGAGGTCCCGCCACCGCCTGTGTGTCGAGTTGTGGCGTCCTGCAGTTGCTGGCGCCGCCGGGGCCACGATCCCCGCCGCGGGAGCAGGAGGACGAGGACGAGGAAGAGATGGGGGAAGGCGGCGTGGAGAGGTCCCGCGATGGAAAGGTCCCGGAGTCGCCCGCGTCCGCAGTCGCGGCTCCAAAGCGCTTCGGCAGACACCAGCCGCCGTCAGTCAAGGCCATCCACGGTCCGGCGCTGCTTCTAGCTAGCTTTTAGCTCCTGAGGCGGGGTTGGGAGGGCAGGGACGGTAAAAGAGATAAAGAGGCCTTACTAAAGGTTTAGGCAGTGCACCACCTCACCTCCACTCCTTCTTCTAGCTCTTCTAGATCCCTCAAAGGTCCCTTTCTACTCTGGACCCCGGCGTCGAGGAGGGAGGAGAATGGAGCCTGCGCAGCAGCCACAGGGTCCTCCAAGGATACCCTCCTTCTTTCACCCGCATGGCTTTGGTCCCCCTAGCCCTCTCTGCCCACCCTCTCCGCAGCATCCTTCCTCTGCACGCGCGCCAGATGCTAGGAGTGACCGCCAAACTGGCCGAGGTTTTCCTTCCGCCCCAGAGTGGCTCCCTCCGGGCTGATGACACACAAAAGAATAGTAGCTTTGCGTGTCTCATCCCGCCTCACTCAGGGTGCCCTTCTCCGGGAATGCCTCCCTGTTCTCCAAGTGGAAATCGCTAGCTCAAGGAAGGCAACCTGCTCCTGAAAACGAAACCGCCGCTTGTCCCCAGAGCTTTCCGAACCGTGCCGACTAGACCCAACACAAACCCCAGAGAAATGCACTCAGCATAGGGAAACTGGGGTGCCAGGGCTGGGATGGCAGTTCAAGATCTTCCTGGCAGGAATAGTAAGGAAAAACTATGGGGCAGGAGCCTCACGCCCCACAGGCGTCCCTGCGGGCCCGCACACCTTAGCCACAGCCCGCGTCTGCAGCCACCAGCGCGCGATCTCACGCCGGCCGGGCCACCCGGGCCCACCCCGCGGTTATCCCCAGCCAGGGAAAGGCCAGACCGTTCCGGAATAGGACGTAGCGGGGTGGAGCAGAGAGCCGAGAAAAGGAGGGGAAAACGCAAGGGAGGGGGCGGGAGACCGCCCCGCAGTCGAGGCCACCCCAAAGGGGAGAGCAGGAAGAATGACAGGGAGACTTAGAGGGGGTGGGGAAGGAAGCAAAAAGCTGCCAGGCGGGCCTCCTCGAGGCTGCTTTTCCAAATCGCTTCGGCTCATCAGAGATAACCACACTAAAAATTATAATGCCCACACACAGACCCGGGCAAGATAGCCAGAAAGAAGTTTCTCTACCAGCCTGACTACCGGCTCCCGCCCCTTTGCACTGAGATAACTCGGAGATAAGGCTGGGCGCAGATAAGCACTTAGGGGAGAGGAAAAGACACCAGAAGTTGGTCCGTGGTGTCCCGGGAACCTGGGAGCCGCTGCAGCCCTCCCAGAGAGGAGGAGGGAGACACCCTCGGAGCCGACCGCGGGCGGGAGAGGGCCGGAGGCCGAGAGGCCCGCGACTGGTAGGGGTAGAAGGGAGGAAAGTAGGGAGACAACAAGCAAAGGAGGAAGCAGCCGAACCTCGGGCGAGCGCTGAGCATGGAGAACGGCCGCGGCGGAGGGTGCTCCCGGGCTCGGAGAGAGGCCGAGGGCGCCGGTGAGAGAGCACGAGTCCGGGGTCTGCGCGGCGCTGCTGGTGAATAAAAAGGAGAGAGGAGGCGCCTCTTACTGCTCTGCCGGAAAACTGCAGCCTGCGCTCCTGATTGGACTCACCGAGCCCTAAACAAACAGCGCTCGCCGAAGGGTGCCAGGCTGTGGGTCGGAACTGCGCTCTGGAAGCAGCTGGGCGCGGAGGTGAAGAGGAGGAGGAGGAGGAGGAGGGATCGAGGGGAGGAGAGAAAAGAGGGAGGGGAGGGGGGAGGGGAGCGCGCCGCCCCGGCAGACAATAAGCGCCGCGCAGCCTACGGGCGTGGGCTGAGTGGCTAGCACCGTCCCCGTAGCTGGGGAGATTCCACCCAGGGGGCGCCGAGCCTAGGGAGCCGGGGGAGGGGCGGAGGCGACAGAACGCCTGACCTGGCTGGCGACCCACACCCATCCTGCCACAGAGCACCCTCTCGCGCCCCCAGTTACACACACACACACACACACACACACACACCCTGGAGTAGGGGAGGGAACCTTGGCACGGAGAACCTGTCTCGCGCCGCCACCGCTGAGGGAGGGGCGCGCCAGCTCCTGGGTCAGCGCGCCCCCAAAATGAGCCGGGAAAGTGCTTTGCTTCTCTGGCGCTCCTCACTCCTCCCTCCACGTTAAATAAGTTTTTGCTCCGCAGTTGTGTGTAACTGACCTTAAACTTTCCCCGACCCTATTTCGGGATGCTAGAGCTCAGGTCGTAGTGGCCTTTGGGGATCCGGGCTCCTAGGACTTGAGAAAGAAGGGGCCTGGATGTCCAACTCCCTACCTCTCCCCAGTTCTTAAAATATATACTAAATTCCTGAGAAGTTTCGGGAAGTTTTCGACGATACTCTCTAGCCAACCTTAGGGAACTTTTAACCCTGGAGTTGTCAAGTACGGCAAGGTTAGGCTGTGCGATGCGCAGGATGGAAGAGGGGTTCCCTTCCAGTCGTGTCCTAGGGCGCACGTTCAGTTTTGTTGTCATGTTTACTCAGAGCTTTTCCTGGGCATCAGGTAGGTTGCAAATAAGTAGTTGGAAAGGGGGTGGGGTGGTACCTTCCCTGGACACAGCGCAAAATATTGGTTCCCCACCCCCATCCTCACACACGCGCAGGCACACACACACCTTCTCTCCCTCCAAAAGATTATCACAACTATGTACAAACTGATACGGTCCTCAGCCAAGGGACTGGAAATGAACATCGCTGGGTTATCAGTGCCGATCTGTCAGCAGCGAGTCGCACGGCCGCAGGCTCGTCCGCGGCAGGAGCCGTGATATATGTCTCGCTCCCTTTCGCTCACAAAACGGATTTCTTCCGACAGGCGTGACCCCAGAAGGCTGCGGAGAGAGCATTTAACTAAGCAGAAGGAGTTGTCTTGTGGGATTGGATTTTTACACAAACCCCCGAGGTAAATCAAAATAAATGATTTTCCAAAGGTCAGTCTCCCTGAAAGCGTTTGGGCTGTGTGTTTTTGTTTTGTTTTGTTTTTCATTGGGGAAGGAAGAGGAACCTAATCAGAGTTGAACAGGGATAGATAGGTGCATTGTAAAATATGGTTTCGATTGATTGTGAGATCTGGTTGCGAAGGGTAGGTTTCCTGGCAATATAACAGTGAGTGGTGAACCTGTGGATCCCTAGGGGACGGGGGAGGGGAAAAGAGTTTCGCGTTGACCCGGAGGGGGGGGCGCGGACTCTAGGAAGTTGGGTAAAATTCTCCATTTTTTAAATTCTTCGTTGTAAACTGTTGCTAAACACTTCTGAATTTTAAATTGCTACAGAGAAGGTCCATAAACCGTTCTCGTTCAATTTAGTCACTTTTATTACATTCCTCTTTGCCTCCCCCAATCACTACTTCGGCTCCCAGTTTCAGCGTGGCCACATTTCGGAAACGCTGAAGGTAGAAAACTCTGGAATGGAGAGATTGGTGACCGGAGCAGGATCCAGGGCCTTTAAAGTTTAACCTGAGTTCGATCGAATGCAACTACCGGAGTAACGTTGGCCGGCCGCTCAATTCCCACCATGGCTTCAGATGTCTTGCACTCGGTTCTTTGCTGAGTTCCGACCAAATGGACTGGGTTTTGCAGAGTTCTTTTGTGAGCGGTTATTTTAATGTTCTGGACATTTATTTTCCTTTGAGTCCAATTGTTTTTGAAATGTTTCTCAGATTTACTATTAAAAGTAAATTTTTTTTAAAGTCCATGCTTGCTAAAAAAAATAAATGCTTTGGTTAGGTTTGCATCCATGCTGTGAATGGCCTCCAAGCTGAGCCCCGGAGGAGATCAAGCCCTGGCACGAGCTTGATTCCTACCTATCCTCTATGATTCTTTATATTTGCAAATATGATGATATCGGTGTGGATTTCCTGGGAGATAGCTAACCCCCACTGTCCTGCCTTTCTTGCAGCTCCCCCGCAGCATTAGGAGGGCGCACTGACCTCTGCGCCCATGCGACAGAGGTGAGCTGCTGGACGGATATTGACCAATTCAACAATGTTCGGACTGCTGTAAGGGTTCAAGAGAGAACCCAGCATTTTTACCTTAATATTCCCCATCACTTAAGAATGCCCAAACCAAAGGGAAAAATAAGTAATTGTTCCTTTTCAGGCCACAAGTTATACCTCTTTATAATAAACATTGGTTTTCCAATCAAACGAGGGAATGGATAAAGAAATGTTTTCCATATAAGTTATTTTTAAAATAAAACAAAACTATTAAACCTGAACAGTCGATTAAGACAGAAAACCAGGTTGTCTGGCCGCCCCAATTTGCCTTTTTCCGAGGCAAAGACTTTGGCGCTGGGGACAAACACCCACCGACAGAGGCGGGTTTTCCGAGACAGCCCCCATGGGCTCCAGGCCCCGGGCACTGAGATTCCTCTAATCCGGTCTGAAATGTCAGCAGAATCCGGGGTGCAGAGGAAAGAGGCACACCCCAAACTAAGGAGGAACCCAAGAGCTGTGTAAAACCCAATAGTGCCCACATAAACAGATAATTCTCTTAAGAATTTCTTTTTTCTTGTTGTTTTTTTCCTCCTATTTTCTTTTTCTTTAAAAAAAAATATATTTTTTTCTTTTCGCTTCTCCTGTCTCCTCTTTAGGAACCTGCTAATATTGAACGAAACCGTTTATCTCAAGACTATTTAGACCCCAAAAGCGACCATTCCAAAAAACGAGCCTTACTCCTCACCCTTGGAGAGGGCTGGCCCTGGGGCGCGGCCTGTCCCGAGGGCTGATTTATTTGGGCCGCGCCACGCCACTAGACGCGATTCGAATCCAACCAGAACACAAGAGCCAATTGGGCAGGGGGCGGGGGCTCTGCTGCCAAAACGGAAGGGGTGTTTGGGGACTTTGTGGTGCGCTGCTTCCGGAGGAGCGGCGAGACCCAGGCAAAGACTTGCGTCACCTTTACCCCCGCAAAATCAAGTGCCTTATATTGTCATTTCATTGTCGTTCCAGCGCCTTTTCAGAAAGAAAAAAAAAGAGAGAGAGAGAAAAGAAAACATGGTTCTAACTAAAGATTTTTTTTAAACCGGTTTTATGGGGCCTCTCGCTTATGCCATAATCCATTTTGTCCCTGGGACGCTTTTAGTCCAAAGACACAGGGTCACCTTGGCGCGCCCCCAACCCCCAGCGTCAGGCGCCAGTCGCCGGGTCCGGA